GCACATGATAAAAAAAATTAAAAAAAAAAAAAACAAAATAAAAAGATTAAACATATAAAATCGAGATTTTGATAACAACGCATGCTTTATGCTTCCAAGTAAAACAAAGGCGTAACGTAAGTCCTTGAAATTGGGGTTTAAATGTGCGAGTCACGAGGGAGAACGTGATGGACTCTGGTGGGCCGGGCTTTCAACCTCGAGGAAGTCTTTTCGTTTTGTTTACTCTTCTCCATGTTTTACGAGGTGGGCCTACTCTCCTCTTTTTTTTTCTTTTTTTTTTGGGGGGGGGGGGGGGGGGTGGGGTGGTGTCATTCCTCTTCTCTTCACGGCCTTTGGAGATTGTTAGTTAATTAATGTGATTTATTAATCCCATAAGCCTTTTTAAAAAAAAATGTTATTTGGAAGTTAGTAAGTTAAAATAATACTACCACATGGGGTTAATGAAATTAGGTTGTCACGTGATGCTGCATGCCTTTGGTTATCCTAGGTAAATAGAATTTCTAAAGAGAAGATTGAAAATCACACAAATATAGTATAAGTTTTATATAAAGCCTATTTGATTTAGTAATTTTGAATTTATAAATGATAGTGAATATGTAATGATTGATGTTTGTTATTTCTAAATCAAACACTATTAATTATTAAGTATTGACTATCAACTATAAATTATTTAAAATAGTTAAACCAAATAGATAACTCTATTTATGGATAATTAATTTTACAATTTAATAGTTGAGATGTACTAGTAATATTGTTTTAACTGTTAAAGGTGAAATTAAAAGTTACTCCCTCTATTCACATATTTGTCTTCTTTTTTTTTTTTTAACCATTTATAAGGATTAAGAATTAATGTCAATTATTATATATTTTGATTAATTTATACAGCCTTTTCCAATCCTACACCTAATTATTGTTAAGAAATAAGATGAATTATATTAAAAGCGAGCTTTAAATATAAAATTAAAATGAAAATAAAAAAAATTGAATGCATATTGAAAAAGTAAAGAACACCCCTAATTTGATACAAAATTTTTATCCAAAGAAGCGAAAATAATAATTTGTATAAAGTTTACACACACATGATGGATCTTACCTCGTATTAGTTGAGATGTATAGTTTATTTCAGGGTTTCAGTATAGGTATCATCTGGACAAACTTATCTGGTGAGGGATTTTCTTGGGTTTTGGGAATATAATAACTAAAGATATCAAACCAGCAATTTGCTACCAAATCCAGCTACAAAAAGGCAAATAAAACGAAACAAAATCCTCGAAACTCATTTCTATGTTGTAATGAATTGGACTTGTTTGCATGCTGCTACGACTACGACTTTTTAGCCACTCGAGCTCACATCCTCTTTGGAAACAACCCTAATTCGTACTTCAGCATATAGACATAGAAAGCAAAAAAAAAAACTTCAATTATAGTAATCACATAATTGATTGAGTCGTGCAATTGGTTCCATGTACGTATAATAATCTGATGAATTATGAAAAGAAGTACTTGTCTGCTATTCTAAACTTCTAGATTTGTTTTTTTTTTTTTTTAATCAGAATTTAAATTATTATAATATATAATTTTATAATTCAAATATTTATGAAAACTCTTATGAAATAACATTTCTATTAAAGGTATACTTATACTAAGTCTTTGTTTATCAGTATTGTATTGTGTTATACAATGCTATAATCATTTATTTTTTTTTTTTGTCTTTGTCTTTTGGTATCTAAAAAGTATACAACATATTAATTAAAATTAGTAAAAGTATATGAGAAATTAATTAAAAATAATAATTTTACATATTTTCTTTTATCTTGATTGCACAATGAAAGGCAATCATCTTTTATCTCTTATCTCACTCCACTTACATGTCATGTGACTCGAATTCATGACCTCTTACTTTTAATAGAAGAATTCAGGATTTCTTACTTTTAATAGAAGAATTCAGGACCTCTTACTTTTAATTGAGAAAGATGACCATTGAATTACTTAAGTCGTTGATAATAAATTTACATTTTTAGATAATGTATTGTGTGAAAAAAGATTTGTGCGATAAAAGCTTGTACAGTTATGTGTTAAGTTTTGGTTTGAAAAACACGAGAAAGTAACTCAAATAATATCATTTTCTAGCTTTCATGTTTTTTGTGGCCAACTGAATATTCTAATTTAACTAGAATAATTTCAAGAGAGGTGAGGAATGTAGTGTATTTTGAACTAGAAAAAGTTCAAAAATTAAATCACAAAATGATAAATGCCAAAGAAAAATCAAATGTTACAAACAAATCAAACAAACTATATTGATTAGAGAAACAATCAGTAAGTTGGGCGGGCTTGGGTCAATTTCTTACTTTTTACACGTTCACAACATGGGCCTTTTGGATTTTTAGATGTCTAGAGAGGACCAGTTTTCAAAATTGAGGCAACCCTTACATTCTTGGAACAGGCCCATTAAAAGCCGGGTCCATTTGCATAAAAACCTTAGTGGGCTACTTATCAGAATCTCAATTGTGGGCCCTATTAATAATTCTCGAAAATTCAGTAACCTTACGGTCTGCATTTATTTATATTCATTTATTTTTGATACTAGTCTTCAATTATTTTTATTATTTTTTTATGGTAGTCTTCATTTATTTTTTGGACCATGGTACATGTATAAAAAATATAAACCCGAAATGAAGGTCGAAATTAATTAATATCCACCATTCCTTGTGTGGGATCCCCACATAATAATGGGGCACCCACACAATCAAAACTAGAGATTTTTTCACCTCAATTTGCCTGGCCTAATGGATTTAAATTTTAAAGATAGGTTTTTTTTAAAGTAAATTTTGAAAATGGTTCATCAAACATCATAGCATATAGTGGCGGCACAATACAACAATGCTAGTGTTTTCTCAAAAATTTTAAAGTGGTATTACTGTCTGTGATAAATTTGAATACGAGACACGCCATTTATTTTGTTGTAAAATAAATTTAAAAAAAAAAAGAATTTTTTTAACAACTTTTCCTTTCATATGGTCTATTTCCGTTAAAATGATTGGAAGAACATCAATTTAAAGTGGAGTTCTACACTTTTAGACGATCTATTGGAGGAAAAGATACTTTCTTGTAGAATTGGTCATTGTTCTGCCTTGAACAGTTTCAAGGATTTTAAAACACCATTGTTAATGAAAAACTTAAAGATCCAAATAAATAAAACGAGCAAAATGAACGAGCGTTCATCTAAATTTATTGATAGATTTGACTATTAAATTACTTGCAGATTAAACTAAATTGCAGTAGAACTAGAAAAGTAAATGTGCTAATAAAGCGGCAAAAACCAACACTTAGCCCCTTACTTTACAAATTTGGTAGGTTTTAGCCCTTCACCTTATAACACGATAGTTTTAGCTCTTTATCTTACAAAGTTGGTAGGTTTTACCCCCTCATTTTACAAAATTAGTAGGTTTTAACCTTTTACCTTATATTATGATATTTTTCTCCCATCACCAATATGAATTAAAGAAAATAACCATCATTTAATATCGGGTTATAACGTTTTATTAGTTCTGTTAGTTGACTGTTAATATTTGTTAGCATTTCATTATAAAAAATATGAAATTTAAATTTAATTTTATTTGTTAGTTTTATTAACGGAATGCTAATAGATATTAACAGTCAACTAATAGAACTAACAGTCAGCTAACAAAACTGATAGTCAGTTAATAGAACTAATAAAACATTAAAATCTAATGTTAAATAAGGGTTATTTTCTTTAATTCGTACAGATAAGATGTTAAAAGTATCATAATATAAGGTAAGGGGCTAAAACCTATTAATTTTGTAAGGTGAAGGGTTAAAACCTACCAATTTTGTAAGGTAAAAGGCTAAAAGTGTTATATTATAAGATTATGGGTTAAAATCTATTAATTTTGTAAGGTGATGGGTTAAATGTTGGTTTTAGCTTAATAAAGCTAAGTAATCACCATGATTAGGCAAAGAAAATTGAAATTAACATGAACATGAATGAAAAACTTGAAAGACATATAAGTTGACACTTGGAAAAAATGACACTTATATCAAAATCACTAAATAAGTAAACAAGTTGTTGTAGAAGTTGGAACTAATCTAAATTTGACTGAAAATTTTATTAAAACTAAGATTTGTGAAATGTGTGAACAATAACTCTAAAACTAAAAAGTTGAATTTGATGAGTTATATATGTAGGGCTAATCATGTATGGCTTCTTTCAAATTTTTTACTTTTATATGTCTTGAAGAAGATGGTAACCACCCATCCCCATTTATGTAGAACATGATAGACACTCATGGGGTAATTAGTAACTCAGCAATAGACTTGGTCAAAAACCTCTATAGAACTTGCCATCTGTTTGCCACCTCCTCCACTAGCTGAATTTGACTTGTAACTTCTCCTAAAATTTAGCCATGATTTCCATTACCATTAAATTCTACCAAATAAATAGGATATAATTACAGAAAATACCAGATGTGGTTAGACATGTGACAGCCATGCTCTAGACTGTAGTAACATTAAACCTTATTGACTTTATCATAGCCACTCATTTAAACAATACAATACGAGATATGATATCATCAAATAAATTTATAATTTATGGTATAAACAATTAGACGAAGCCAAAGTTAATACTGAAGGTCTGACTTTTTACTTCTCTACTCTAAGTTAAAACTAGAAAACAAAAATAAATTTTTTGAAATTGATCATAACTTCTAAATTTTTTTTTTTTGAACAATTTTGCAAAGATCCGAATTCAAGCCATTGCTCGAGAGAGGAGGGATACATTTAAACGTAACTTAATGTGATTAGGCCTGAAAGCCCCAGTGCGATCATAACTTCTAAATGGTTAGAAGTTAAAATTAAAAAATAATAGATTTTGAAGTAAATTTTCTATTGCTAACTATCTGGTTGGGATTATTATCAAGTACGTTTCTTTATGGACGACAAAACAGATGGAAGTTAGAATGATAACAAGAGAATAAGGAATATTATGAATTTTGATACCATGACATAAGTAGTTTGCAACTACGCAAAGCTTAAAAGACATGAATTCTTACCAGAGACATACAATAGCATGCAAGAGGCCTAAGAAATGCGGCATTGCACACTGACATCATTTTGTGTTATTTTCTGAGTACGTATCCAAAACTAGCAAACCAACACATACAGTTCATGCACAACACAAACCATATATATATATATATAACCATTTATATAGTAGAGAACATTACACAAAGAGATTACTATTGAGCATTATTTATTCTAGACAGCTACCAGAAGAAATTTGCAAGCTGCGATGGACCCTGTGAGTCTTCGAGATCATGGGACGGAGAATGTACGTGTCTCCCTTCATATGTTGTTATCACCATTCTTGGATCCTCTGCTAATCTCTCCACACGTTTCTTTACGCGACAATTATCTTGTGTGCAACGGTAATAGCTCCTGCAATACATACATTTTTCTCTGTGGTTAAATTTTCATTTAGTTTCCAGCAACATGTATATATGACGAAGCAGAACAGATCTAGAAATATGTATATGCTACTACAGCGGTATAATGTAGAAAAAAAAAAAAAGTGCACCAGCAAAAGACTGCACACTGGTAATGTATATGCCCCACAATCTGATTCTTAAGCCTTTCACATGCAAACGATATGATTTTCAACAAGGTCGCATATATAGTTTAAAGTTAAAAACTCGGAACAAGGAATATTTACTAATAAATGTAATGTGTGTGGTTATTATCAATACGTAAGATGATTGTTGTTTCCAAAAAAAAGTAAGATAATATTGTCACGGGAGTTGAAAAGCATGCATGAAGTTAAGAGATATAGCCATCATTTTTAATAATGGTAATTAAATCAATCAAGCTACCAATTGTGGACTATTTTGGATGAGGTGAGGGCCTACTATTTCTAGCCACCAATTATTCTGTTGATGGAACAAAACTTCCTTTCATTTTTTCATTTTATTTTTCTACACACATGGAGAATTTGAGAGAAAAATATAGTAAGATATCAATTGCCTGATTCAAAACTTGTAATTAAGATCACCAAGTTCTTAAACTTGAAACATGAATCATAAGTTCACAAGAGCTAGTATGTGATTAAGGTATATGATAGGGGATATAAATCAATTTCCTTGAAATGTTTATGGCTTTAAAAATCAAAGTTATTTGGTTTTTTTAATGATTAAGTCAAAGTTACTCATAACAAACATGTAATTGACATAATTGAAACTCTAAAAACTCATGCTAACTCGATGGGACAGCAACAGTACACCAAGAATTTCTTATCGAAGCATTCTTTTTGACTAGGAAATAGTTGATCTCTTACCTCATAATAAGTGTAAGAAATTAAGACATGATACTCAAATTATGATTGTATACATAGTAAGGAACTGAAATCATTACCTTGGAATTTATAGCATCGACTTTGCAAGAAAAGTTGTAACTCTTTTCTTCATACATAGGGGTAAATCATAGGTATATGTAGAAGTAAGAGAACCATTAATTAGAGAAGACTGTTGTTTTGGGCTACAAAACACAAAGAAAATACCACATATGTATGATGTATACGTATGTATATACCTCCCGATTAAACCATATTGAATTTATTATTTTTATGTGAAACTAGAATAAAACAGTACTCTAGAGTTCCTTCTACTATTCATTTTAATAAAAGTATTGTTTTATTTCTTAAAATGAAAGAATACCTATACATCGAGTTTCTTAACCCCCTGATTCTAATTGCTTTGCCTGAGCATTTCAATATTCGTTGCTTAATCCTTAGAAAGTTTTCACATTTTCAGTGAATGAAGTACATACAACATTTACTCTAGCTTGAATCTCATAATCTTTCTGTAAAATTCCATCTTGTAATTAAAAACGTACACATGTTTAATTAATTAAATGAGTAACATGCATTATTTATGTGCCAATATCTATACTGGGGTTATCTTAATTTCTTACTTTTAAGTTTGCTTTAGTCTTAACATTAAAAAAATGTTGATCAATTATTGCACATCTAACATATTTTTATTTTTTTAAAGCTAACAATTAATATATAATTAAATTTGAGCTAAAAATTTTCTTTTAATGTATGATATAACTACAAAAATGGACATATTTTAGCAATTAAGATCTCCATCAAGTAACCTGTAAAGCCTAATTTGTCATCATAACAACTATAGTAGTGCTCATGATGAGAAAGAGAGAGGGAGAGTGTGGGGAGAGGGAATTAAAGGCAGAAAAGGGAGGAACATAGCATGTGTATACATGGAGTACAACTAAGACTAAAACCAAAATATACTATGAACATGCATTTGCAAACATTCAAATCAAATGAGTAAAAGAAAAAGGGAATTGAATTTTGGAAAAAGTAATTAATTTTACCTGGGATGCTGGGTGTTCTTTACCACTTTTTGGCCGTACTTTCTCCACTTGTAGCCATCATCCAGTACATCCACATCGCTCATGGTCTTGAAGCAAAACCTAGGTTCCCTTACCTTCCTCCTTCCTTTTATCTTCTTCATTTTCATTGAAGAAACCCCCAGATGATTATGATCATCCATTACTCCACCACAACTTTTCTTGCTTCCCAAACATGACTCGTTCACTTCTCCCCATGCCCTAATAAAATATACCACATAGAGAAGACAAACCCAAAATATATAATCATTTAGATTGAATCAAATTAGATCATATATATCTGCATGCATGGATATATATATACATAATCATTTAATCAATAATCATTGTCTGATATCTAACAAAGAAGAATCACCAACAAGATCTCATCGAATTAGTAAAACCATAATTTCAAATGTTTAAAGACTACCTTGAAAGGGTGTCTCGTGTACTTGGTCTCATATCAGAATCTTAAGATAAGTTGAGAGAGATTAATTAAGAAAAAACAATGGTATAGCCTCTAAGACGACATAAAAATGACTAAAAACTAACTTTGTTGATGATAAGGGGGCAAAATGAGAAAAAAGAGTAAAGAATCATGAAAATCTTAATCTGCATGAGTAATTTGTATATGAAAGTAAACGTATTTTTACCAGAAATTTGTTGATCTATGCAAGGAAAGGAGTTGGGGTCCTCCCAAATCAGAAGATGTGTCTTGAGTCTGCTTTTGATGAGACAGTAGGGTTTCGGGGAGATGTGGAGGATAAGAGGTCAAGTTTGAAGGAAAAGAGAAGAAACCCATCTGAGATGGCATCTCTTCGAACAAACCTGCGGTCTGGTTAAGCATCGCTTGGGACGTCGACGACATCTGGTAGATCTCTTTGAGAGTGATATCGTGGAAGGAAGAGGACGAAGGTTGGCTGCTTTTATATGTAGGAGAAGAGTCTGGAGTGCAGGTGCAGTGCAGCTTTAGACATGGATCGGCCACAGCCCACAGAGAGATAAGCAGCAGTCGTGTGTAGAATTTTAAGAGGGTCTCTCTCAAACTTCTCTAGGATAATACCCAAACATGCCTTTAATACGCGACCAACCACCTTCAGGCCTTTTGGCTCCTCGTCACTCTGGCTCTCCCAGTCTCCCCCTCTAGAATTGTGTTTGTTAATTAAAAAAGTCTTAAATCTTTTTGTCATTTTTATTCTACTGTAATATTTTTTTGCAAAGGAAGAGTGAGGCCCAGCTTTTGTTGAAGTACCAGTATTTAAATACCCCTTCTGCCATTCTTTTTTTAGTTCTAACTTTGATTTTTAATGTAATTTGACTTAAATACTTTTATATAGCAAAACTAAAGGATTTAAAAAATATATGTATTTACTCACTCACTATTAAGTCCCTTAAGTTGAAGTGCTATTTAAGCACAATTTTTATTTTAAAAAAAACATTATTAATAAGTAAATCTTTATCTATTTTTTATTTGATTTTGGGTTGAAGTTTGAACACTAATGCGAAGAAGTTTTCTCATATTCGTTTTGCTAGCTAAGTTTGAGTTTTTGTAGAAGTAATTTGGTACAAATAATTTTCTAATGGGAAACAAGCATATGTTCAACTTAATAGAACAGATTATAAAAAAAAATAAAATAAAATGTATTAAAAGAGAGATATAATTAATTGAACCCACTGTTTCCATTGTAATTGCTGCTAAATAAAAACTGAACCCACTAATGTACTATACATGTGCAAAAATATTGTAAAGTAGTAACTATATTAACTAGAACATTAATTCAACTATAGTTCAGTAGAGATGAAATACTGGTAGCTAGTGCAAGACATGTTACTTTTTGACCTAAACAAATTAAAAAGCAGGGGATTTTTCTTTTAAGGGTCAACATATATAAAGGACAAACATTGTTTGAGGATTCTTTGCAAATAGATTGCATGGAAAATCCGTGCACCCTGCTGTTATACACCAGGATGCCTTGGAGAACAATAGTTAAAAGAGAGCTAGATGAGTGCACAATAATAGAACAGAGCCCTCAAACATTGAGAGCGGTACAAGTGATAATGTCTGTGTCAAAAAGAGCGAAAAAGGGGTGAACAATAATAAAAGGGAAAAAGAATTAATGATAAATATTTTCCATCACTTACTAGGGATAAGTTTATATAGGCAAACTTATTGTATGTAGGGTTTAACTGATGCTAGCTCCGCCAATCCGAGTCGAAGAATGGAGCCTTATTTTCTATATGGAGCATTGTTTTCTTAGTACATCTCATAATATTTTTATATGTAGTATTATTTTTTTAGTACATTTGATAATATATTATATTATATAAAAAAAATTATACAATGTAAATTTTATTATATTATATAATTTAAATCATTAAATAGACACAAACTTTTTAAATATTGAAAATTGTCCTTTATTGAGATTTTTTATATATTTGTTTAGGGTTTCTTTTTAAGCATTGAAAGAAAAATCAAGGGCAATGATGATAAATCTTGGGTGCAAATCTATCCTGCCCTTTGCATCGGCGGTGAAGATATCATTATGATGGATGAAAGAGGCCTCTAATTGACTTTTTTGCAGAAAAAAAGCTTCTCACCTTTCTCATCTCCTCCTTTTGCTATTTCACTTTTCATACTTCCCAACCCCACATCCCTCTACCCACCATTCTCAAATTCCAAACCAACCCCATAATATTGTTATCATCTCTTCTTCAATTAAACACGATAATAATCCCTTTGGTAACTTTCCAATTTTCCCAAGTAAAATATTCTTTGTGGACCATAGCATTGTTTTTTGAATCTTGTGATTATTGTATAATTAGCAAAGGCTCCATGGGGTTTTTTTTCTATAATTCAACAATAATGTTAAGGTGAGGTACTTGATAGATAAATTTTAGGTGAATGATTAACGTCATTTATTAGAAAATAATAGTGTAGGAGATCTAGCATGCCATATGATGGTTAAAAATCATGGACAAATTAATATAGCTGAGATAGATTAAGGGTTTAGTTTTGCTGAAATCCTCATTATTAAGTCTATAATGATGAAATTACGTTTCATGCAAAAGAAAACAATAGTTAGGCCTAAATTTGTACAATTAATTAGCCAAAACAATTGTTTGGATGCATTTGGTTTAAACTTAAGGTATCCTATTTATATGAATTGTGGTTTGAGAAAAAGAAAAATGTTTTCAAAATGTTTTCTCCCTTATGCATTTACATTCTTCTTGGTGTTTGCACAATCTGCATATCTCAAAAGTAATTCATTTTCCGGTGATCATAGAAATGCACCTTATAGTAACCTAATGCAATAAATCTTGTTTCAAAACTTAAATTTTGGATTTAACATTAGGAAAATTTTATTTATCAGTAAATTTAACCATTCATTAAAAAAATGGAACTGGTAATGTTGTTTGCCTTAACTTTATTCTTGCTTCATATAAAAATTAAAATTCCTTGATTGAATCTCCCTTTTTTTATAATTATATTTGATTTTATTTTTCAAAAAATTATTTTACAATGTAAATTATATTAAATAAAAAAACCATAAATTCATAAATTAAAATTAAAATTTTAATATTAAAAACTCTTTTTTATTTAAAAAATTTATATTTTCCAGTCTAATAAAGGAACTATTCTTTTTTCTTGAAAGAAAAACGGAAGGTCGGAATTTCCATAATCTCGGATTTTTATTATGTTTTGAAGCTGACATGGGGCTAACGTAGAGATGATGTAAGCATTGTTACGTACCGTGGGGAATAATAACTGGCATAATTTTGTAATAATAAAATAGAATTCTTTTAGGCAAAATAATTAAAAATAAAATTACTCCAAAAAAAGTTTTCTTTTTGTTTATGTATGGGTCCTAACCAAAGTAGGAGATAGGCAAGGCTGGGGAGCCAACGCCCATCATTTCTTTTTGTCTCTGTTCATAGGTGGCCATTATGCCACTTAGATCCCCTGCCTTTTGCATTTTAGCTGACAAAATTACTTTACATATTTTTTAGCCCTTTATCACTTTCAAACTTTTGCAAATTGAAATCAGTTCAAAAAAAAAAAAAAAAA